ATAGGTCATACAACTCCAACACACATATCCTTGAATTTTTAATTAAAATGTTAAGAGAAAAAAAAGTCACTTCTCTATTCCTCATTACTGCCTAGTTATGTTCCAGTCTTCCACTGATGGAACTTTGAGAGAAGTGGCTGGTTTTAATGTGGGACACCACGGGATGGGTGGGTTTGCCATCAGATTTGCTCTATGCTGGGTCTGGGGTCAGCTTCTCTCCATCTTATCTTCAACCATGCAGAAAGGTCAATGCTCAGATGCAACGACTCCACAAGGCACCCACCCTTTGGCACCATCTGTTTATATCCTGAAGAAAGATTTGATGTTGCAAAACCCTAAAATTTAGAGCAAGTGGAGCAAGGAACAATCCATTCCTTGTTTTAAATCAAGTTGTCATAATCCAAAGGCAAGTTCCAACTTTAATAACAAACACCCAGTGTTATGACATTTTTACCTTTTCCAACTATTTATGTAGGCCCAAATATTGTGTTTAAATTTTAAACTATACGGCTAACATAAAACAGTCCACTTTCTTAAATACAGTAAAAATAAAGCTAGTTATGCCAATTTTGTTTCCCTTTTAGGCCTCGTTCTTTAAATAGATCATTCATTCAATGAATGTCTGTCGAATGCTCAGTGTCAGACACCGTGCTTGGCACAGCATACCCCCAAATAAACCAGCATTAGTCCTTGTGCTCTGAGCACTACAGAAAAACAGGAAGAAAGCAATGGAAGCCACTCTTAAAATCACCTGTTCTTTTCCATCTCCAACGTCAACAGATGTATCGGAGATGATCAGCATTCCCTTTTCTGTCCTCTCCAAGCCCTGTCCTCCCAAACCAAGTCATAATGAGATCTAAAAGCTGCAGGGTCTCAAACGTCACAAGGGTAAAGCCTCAATCACATTTGGAGTATGGTTTTTCAGCAGTTTTATGAACTCAGGCTGTGAAATGCAGAAATGAAAGTGGTGGAGAAAACAGTATATTGTAGTCACCCAAAGAAAGATAAAATGTACGATGCTCCATGGCCTTGGCATCCCTTCTCTTCATCCCACACTCAGATGGCAATTGGATTTTAACAAGGAGTAGGGTTTGTGGTTTGGGAAATACAGCACTTTTACTGCTTTGGGTCATATTTGAAATATTTGCAGCCGTTTAAAATAGCGTAATGTTATTTTTTCCCTTGTCTTCAAAACAAACCCAGAAAGCTTTTCTAAGTCACAATAACAAGCATAAAATTGGGACATTGGAAAACCCATGGGCAGGGCTTTGGAAAATCCATTCTCCCTTGGGACAAGTGTTTAGTTTTGGTTGCAAAGGATGATTAGCTTCTTGGAGGCCCACCTGACCTTGAATGACCTTGGGACCCCAAAGGAAGAAGGAGGAACTCCAGGGGCTACAGAACTGGGATGTCCCACCCAGCCGTTCTTCAGTGCAATGATGGAAGTATGTACAGAGGCTTTGGGACTTTCCTTTAGCTAAGATGTCCTGTTTTTTATTCTGGAAATTTCTTTGAAAGAAAAAATAATCCAGAGACTCATATTTATTTAAGTGAGCAATTCCCAAAACCCATTGCTTTGGAGTTCTGTCCTGTGAGCCATGCTATCTGGGGCCTATCCCTGCCAAAGGGCCTCAGGTGGGGCCAAACGCTGAAACAAGTGAACCGGCCTCAGATGCAAGGGTACCAGCTTTCCATTTATTAAAAAAATTATTAGAAAAATGAAGGGTAATCAATCTTTGCCCAGAAAGAAATACACACACACACACACACACACACACACACACACACACGTATGTATATATAAGTACGTGTATGTATATGTGTTTGTATGTGTATATATATGTGCACTTATGTACCATACAATGATGTTTGGTCAACAATGGATCACATGTATGGTGGTAGTCCCATAAGATTATAATACTAGGCCAGGCGTGGTGGCTCACACCTGTAATCCCAGCACTTTGGGAGGCCAAGGTGGGCGGATCACAAGGTCAGGAGATTGAGACCATCCTGGCCAACATGTTGAAACTTGTCTCTACTAAAATACAAAAAAAAAAAAAAAAAAAAAATTAGCCGGGCATGGTGATGCGCACCTGCAGTCCCAGCTACTTGGGAGGCTGAGGCAGAAGAATCACTTGAACCTGGGAGGTGGAGGTTGCAGTGAGCCAAGATTGTGCCACTGCACTCCAGCCTGGTGACAGAGTGAGATGTTATTTCAAAAAAAAAAAAAAAAAGAAAAAGATTATAGTACCATAATTTTTGTGTACCATTTCTGTAGTTAGACATATTCAGATACACAATGCTTACCATCGTGTTACAGTTGCTTATAGTATTCAAGACAGTAGCAACATCTACAGGTTTGTAGCTAGGGGCAGTAGGGTACGCCATAGGTGTATAGTAGGCTATATCATCCAGGTTTGCACCTAAGTACATCCTAGGATGTTCTCACAATAGCAAAACTGCTTTTACCAAAACATATTCCTGTTCTGTTGTTAAGCGACACATGAGTGTATTAATATACAGTAAATAGTTATGTAGTAAACATAAAAGTTAATATTTCTTGAGTATGTCCTAGTCCATACCCCAATTAATCCTCATAACAATGTATACTATTATTATCCCAATTTCTTGATGGAGAAAACTGACGTGTAGGGAGATAAAACACCTTGCCCAAGGTCACAGCCAGGAGGCAGGGGAGCTGGGGTTTCCATCCTGGCAGCCGGCCCCGGAGAAGGAGAGAGCTCTCCTGTGTGTTACCATTACACACCCTGACTTGTTTGTCAGGTCCAGATTTAAATACATCCATGTTTCAAGCATCAGAAGTTCTGAAAACCTGATGATGAAGGAAAGTGTTTGATGACTTTCCTTTTGATTCTAATTATTAAAGAAAAGATAAATGGAATTCTCCAATTACATGGAATATATAAGAAAACAAATCAAAGTGAATTAAAACACATTTTTCCAGGCCAGGCATGGTGGCTCCCGACTGTAATCCCAGCACTTTGTGGGGCTGAGGCCAGCGGGTCACTTGAAACCAGGATTTTGAGACCAGCCTGGCCAACATGGTGAAAACCTGTTTCTCTACTAAATACACAAAAATTATATATATACAGTAATAATAAATTAGCCGGGGTTGGTGGTGCACACCTGCAATCCCAGCTACTAGGGAGGCTGAGGCACGAGAATCGCTTGAACCCAGGAGGTGAGGTTGCAGTGAGCTGAGATCGTGCTACTGCACTCCAGCCTGGACAACAGCCAGGTTCTGTCTCAAAAAACAAAGCAAAACAAAACCCAAAACAAACAAAAATACCAACACATTTTCCCGATTTTAACCCCTGTATATTCTCTCCCAAAGAGCAAAACAATAAAGAAAAGAAGAAAAGCCCTTTATTTGCTCCTGCATTTTGAAATTACCTTTTCTAATTTTTAAATTCCTGGTTTTAAGAATGTAAGCAAAAGAAAGGACAAAAACTGCTTCTGACATGGAAGAGGAAGCCACTGCGCTCAGCAGGCCTGGAACTGATGGGGGCCAGTCTGCCGGGGTCTGGGCTGGAGTGTGGGAGAATCCTCTTCGCAGAGAGGACACGGGAACGCTTTCAGCGTCCTGGGATAAAAGACTTCAGAAGAAAGGCTCCTCTCAATGAATGGTGCTCAAAACGGGCTGGAAAACAGGGGAAACAGGCCCTCTCAATGAAAAGCCGAAAAACTGCCTTTTTTGTTGATTGCCTCACTGTGAGACACTGCTCTTCCCCCCTCATCCTCCCTGACCCCTTCCCCAGCTCATCTCATTGGGCCCAGAGAAAAGGCCTCTTGTTGAAACCCCATCTGCCTGCCACTCATCCACTTTCTTTTATCTCTGCCCAGGGTCTGGCAGTTGGGCTGGGGTTTCAGCTGCCAGAAATTTTGGGTTTCACATAGAATATTCCCAAGATGGGCATCTGAGAGATGTCAGTTTACATCAAAATTGCCTTCTCCAACGAATAACCAGAGAGCTTTCTTTCCCTAGCAAGGTCAGAAAATAATTCTTTTTTCAAGATCATGCCAGTACAAACTCAGATCCACTCTCGGCAAGGCCTGACTTAAAGGGACAGGAAACTACCTTGGTTTTACACTAAAAAAAGGACTGAGTTTCAAAGTTGGATTAAAGATGGAAAATTAGTCATGTTTCCTTCTTTGACGGTGCTTTGTGTAATAATGATTATTGCATATAACAAATTCTTGAGGATGGAGTTGTAGCCAAGCTCACAGAGGAAGGTCTTGGGTGATGTTAAAAAATCACCAATCCATAACAACTTGTGTAGCTGGCAAAGTTCAATGGATGGCGGGGCTAGGATGAAGATAAAAAGATAAAGAAGAGAAAGCAGAATTTCTTGGAGATATTTCACTGATTTGTAGGGAGTTCTGTAACAAAGACAGCAGAGCACTCTTTGAAGTGGAAGCTTGGGTCACTTAACTGAGTTGGTTAGAACGCACAGGAGGGAAATTGTGAGAAAGTCTGATTTTCTAACCTTGCAGGAAATCCCTGCTCATAATGATATTTCAAGCATTGGGACATTCACTGCAAAGATAACACTAGATTCTAGCTGTTATGCAGGGAAATACAGGCATAAAGATGGGCAGAGGGGTGTCCAGATTGGAGATCCACAGGCTCTTTAGCCTCAGCTCTGAATATGAGCAAGTCAGCAGAAGCAATAAAGGACAGAAACCGCGTTTTCTATTCACTCCCTTCCAGGGTTGTCCTTTGTTAGGCTGATTTTTGTCTAGAGTGGACATGGGAGGTGGCAGGGTGGGAGTTGGGGTAGGTGGGGTTGGGATGTGGGAAGGTGGGGGGCTGCCAGAGGGCTTGGGGTTGAGGTAGAGTATGGCCCAAAGATTTCCTTAGGTGGTGAAGGCCTGGCAGCCTCTCTCCATCCCTTACCCACCCCAGCCCCCCTTTTTTCCTCTCCCTGTGGGGAATAAGCAAATATCTCCTGGTCAGCTTATTTTCCCTTTCAGCAGTAGTTCTAACCCTGGAGGCAGAAAGATCTTTCTAAAGTAAAAATGAGAACCTCACACTCTTGCTGAAAATCCTGCAATGCTGCCCATCATCCCAAGGTAACCTATGGCCCAAAGGTCCTCCCCATGGCTCAAATGTGGGGTGACTCTTAAAATGATCAACCAAAGGACTTTAAAAAATATTTTTAAAAAGCCACTTTATTGAAATATAGTCAAAGGACATTTTTGAAAGTGAAAATGGGTGCAGAGAAAATCATGCCAGGGCAACAGAGGCTGTCCCAGCAGAATCAACATGTGTAGTCACTGATCCAAAAGGCCCCTGGAGACCTGGCCCTTGGCTACCTCCTCAGCTTCTTCTCATCTCCCACTTCCCTCTGCTCTCTCCGTGCCTTTGATGCTGGATTCCTTTTGTCTCTGTGCCCTGCCCCACTTCAGGGCCTTCACACATTCTGTTCTCTCTGCCTGGCTCAGTCCCCTTTACCCATCTCTCCTGGCTACTGTCTGTGGGTCTCTCCTAGAGTCTGCGCTTTATCTAGAGAAGCCTCCTGTGTTGTGTTTTGTTTATTTATTTATTTATTTATTGCTAACAGAAAGCAAGCAGGGACCAGATTTTAATATCAGACAAAAATGAACGGAAGGCCTAAGGCACATAGGCTATGGCCGGCTGTGAGAATGTCTTTGCCTCTGCTGCATCTTCACCAACTTGTTCGTATTCTTCCTATCTCTTCCCTAAGTCTTTACGACTCATCTGCTCTTATCATTTCTTCAGGATCCAAATGCCTAAAAGGGAGCATCCTCTTTAAATCCCCAGTTAGCCCTCATTTGGGGTTTCCTTCTGCTTCCTGGCTTACACCTTTTGAGGAGGGCTGAGACTTCCTTTTGCTTCCTGGGGGACACCTTTCCAAGGGTAGACTCCCTCAGCCTTTGACATGTTCTGTGGATTTTCTTCACAAGACTTTTGCATATTGAGTATTTTTTTTTATTATTTCCTTTTTGAATAAACTGGTCTTGAAAGGATCCAGGTCACTTTTCTCCTTCTCCAGCAATAGGGAGTGGCCATAAGGAAACAAGCCCTGGACCATAAACCCTGTGTATTTTATGGTCCTAAGGGCCAGAGGTGATAGTCCAAAGATGCAGTCACTGCTGGGTAATATGAACAAAGAAATGAATGAGCAAATGGATGAATGAATGAACAATGATCTCCCTTTGCCTTGGTCAGCTTCGGCTTGGTCAGCTTGGGCTGCCATATAGGCTGCATGGCTTAAGCAACAGACATTTTTTCTCTCATAGTTCTAAAGACGGGAGTCTGAGATCAGGCACCAGCATAGTTGGATTCTGGTGAGGGCTCTCTTGATATGTCCTCACATGACAAAGAGAAAGAGAGAGAAAGAAGAGAGAATATCTTTGGTGTCTCTTCTTGTAAGGGCACTAATTTCATCACAAGGGCCCCACCCTCATGACCTCATCTGAACCCAATTACCTCCAAAGGCCCTATCTGCAAATACTGTCATATTGGGAACTAGGGCTTCAATGTATGGAGTTTGGGAGGACACAAATCAGTCTATAGCACCCTTTAATTCTCTAAATAAATGAAACTTTATGTTGAACAAATCTGCTTACTGAGTAATATATTGCAGCTTAAGTTCATCAGATCATTGCCATAATTTCCAAATTATTTTTTAAAAACTATTTTAAAATTTTCATGTTTTAAAACTATTTAAAACTACTTTAAAAACTATTTATTTAAAAAAGTAATTACTGATTCACAGTAAGTTGCAAACTTAAAACAGAGGCCCTGTGTGCTCATCACCTGGTTTCCTCCAATGGAAACATTTACATAACTGCAGTGTAGTATGAAATCAGGACAGCAGTGTTGGTATAATCCCCAGACCTTATTTGGATTTCAGCAGTTTTACAAATGCACTTTTACACTTATACATTGTGCGTGTGCATGTACTTCTATGCAATTATATCATATATGTAGATTTGTGTATCCAGCACCACAACCAAGACACAGGACTGCTCTGTCACCACAAAGATCTTCTTTTTTTTTTTTTTTTGAGATGGAGTCTTTTTCTGTCACCCAGGCTAGAGTGCAATGGCGTGATCTCAGCTCACTGCAACCTCTGTTTCCCGAGTTCAAGAGACTCTCCTGCCTCAGCCTCCTGAGTAGCTGGAATTACAGGTGCCCACTACCATACCCAGCTAATTTTGGTATTTTTAGTAGAGATGGGGTTTCACCTTGTTGGTCAGGCTGGTCTTGAACTCCTGACCTCAGGTGATCCACCTGCCTCGGCCTCCCACCACACCCGGCCTGTGCTACTTTTTCATGGTAAGACTCAACCATCTCCTCTCCACCTGCCACCCTGTCTCTAACCCCTGAAAACATACTTTTTTTTCCATCTCTATAGTTTTGGGTGGGTGCTGCAATGCCCCTCCAGGTCCTGTTCTAGGCCCTGCTTTCTCTGCTGTGACCATCTCTGGTTGATATTAGTAAAAAACATATATAATTCATAAACCAGTACAAAAATATTTCAACGTGCTAACAATCTTTATTTGTACTGGTATGTACTTATTGAACATCGGCCCTGTATAGAACATTCTTTTTTTACTGTTATTTTAGGTCTAAGGGTACCTGTACAGGACTGTCATATAGGTAAACTGTGTGTCATGGGGATTTGGTATACAGATTATTTAGCCATCCAGGTAAAAAGCGTAGTACCCAATAGGCATTTTTTTTTTTAAATCTTCTCCCTCCCCCCACTCCCCTTCCTCAAGCAGGTCTGGGTGTCTGTTGTTCCCCTCTTTGTATCTATCCGTGCATTCTCACTGTTTGACTCCCATGTATAAGTGGGAACATGTGGTACAGGGTATTGATCGACTTACGACCTATGCAACTTACGACCATTTGACTTTACTACCACAATCGCTAGCCACGACTGCTCTGCGTCTGGCAGCACAAACGTTGCCCAGCTGGGCGTAGGACAGTGCGGACCAGCTTCTGGCAGCACTACCATCTCCGTGTGCATATAGCCTACTCAACTTATGACCAAATCGTGTTACGACCGGTCTGTCAGAACCAATTGTGGTCGTAAGTCGAGCACTAGCTGTATTTGGTTTTCTTTTCCTGTGTTGGTTTGTTTATGATAATGGTCTCCAGCTCTATTCATGTTGTTGCAAAGGAGATGATCTTATTCTTTTTTTATGGCTGCATAGTATTCCATGGCATATATACATTTTCTTTATCCAGTCTACTTCTCTTTTTTTTTTTTTTTTTTGAGATAGAGTCTTCTTCTATCACTCAGGCTGGAGGCAGTGCATGATCTCTGCTCACTGAGACTTCTGCTCCCTGTGTTCAAGTGATTTTCCTGCCTCAGCCTCCTGAGTGGCTGGGATTACAGGCACCCACCACCACGCCCAACTAATTTTTGTATTTTTAGTAGAGACGGGGGGTTTCACCATGTTGGCCAGGCTGGTCTCAAACTCCTCACTTCAAGTGATCCACCTGCCTCAGCCTCCCAAAATGTTGAGATTACAGGTGTAAGCTACCACGCCTGGCCTAGCCAGTCTGATGCTGATGGGCTTTTAGGTTGATTCTGTGACTTTGTTACTGTGAATACTGCTGCAGTAAACATACACGTTTTTCAGGTAGAACTAATGTTTGTCTTAAGGTAGAACTAAAGGTGTGTCTTTAAGGTAGAACTAATTAATAACTTTTTTAAACATGTATCAGCATGTGTCTTTGTGGTAGAACTATCTAATAACATTTTTCTTTTAAACATGTATCACATTTAAAGTAGTGTTCAGGCCAGGCATGGTGCCTCAAGCCTATAATCCCAGCACTTTGGAAGGCCAGGGTGGGAGGATTGCTTGAAGATAGCCTGAGCAACATAGTGAGACCCTGTCTCTAGAAGAAATTAAAAAAAAAAAAAAATAGTGTGGCAGTGCATGTCTGTAGTCCTAGCTACTCAGGAGGGTGAGGTGGGAAGATTGCTTGAGTCCAGGGGATCGAGGCTGCAGTAAGGTCTGATCGCACACTGCAGTATGGGTGACAGAGCGAGACCTGCCTAAAATAATAAAAATAAATTTAAAAACTAGTGTTCAGTTTCTGTCTTTTAATCTCCTTGCAGTCAGGGCCCTTCCTGCACTTGTCCTTTCTCCAGCACCTAGCTCAGTGCCAGCACAGAGTAGGCACTTAAAGCACTTTTGCCAGATGAAGGAGTGAATAAGTGGGAGCTTGTTTTGTGGATGGCTTTTGGATCTAAACTGATTTCTCTTAAGAAGAAACTATTCATTCCTTTCTCAAATGGTGCATTTCCCCTCGGGTTCTATTGGATTTTTTTTTTTTTTTTTAAATCAAGGAAGAAGGCAGTGAATGTGCTAGCAGCTGCTAGCCTAAGCTGCCTGATTATGGTGTTCACAATGTCTCCTGCCCCCTTCACTATTTTGAAGTAAGCACAGGAAATTACGTAAATTGGCAATAAGAGTCCAGCAGTTGGGATCAGGGAGGTGTGCATATTTGCGTATCCAATTTTCTGCTCCCCTACCAAGCGAACACATGGAGCTTTGACCTTCCATATGTTTTTAATGCGTGTCGGAGATAAGTGTTCCAACAAGTTGGAAGCAACAGGTTGAATTTTCCGCACTGCCCCCCCCAAACCCCCACGCCCTTCTTCCATCTGAAGCTGCTTCAAGCAGGCTGTGCATGTGTGGGAGAGACAAAACAACCTCCCATGACACTAGGCCTTCTCAGAACGTTCCGGACTCCAACCCTCTTGAACTGTTTAATCTGGAAATCTTCCCTGATGTGCAGGGCTGGATTAGGTACAACCTCTTGCCCCTAGCACCCTGTGTTTATCTTGCAAGGCACAGATGATGCTGTCCTGGAATTGACCGTGTTCTGGTCTGTCACCCACATTAGACTGTAAACCTGAGATTAGGGCCCTCTCTTTCTTCTCTACCTCGTTCCTGGTGCCTGACATCATGCCTGACCCAGAGTTGGGGCTGAGAATCTATTTGTTAGATGAATGAAGAAGTGACTAGAAAGGAAATAAGAGCATTGATCAGAGCTTTCCAACCGTCAACAAGTCATCCGGACTTCTGACACCTATAAATTCTGGTTCTTATTGCAAGAATCACCAAAGACTATGGGTTGTTCATTCTGTAATTCAGTGGTTCTCAAGTTTGGACACGCAGCAGAATCACATGGAGGACTTGCTAAAATACAAATCGATGGGCCTTATTCCCAGAGTCTCTGATTCAGCTTATCTGGGCTGGGGCTCTAGAGCTGCATTTCTAACACGTTTATTGGTAATACTGATGCTGCTCTTCTGGGACCACAGTTTGAGAATGACTATAATAATAAACAGAGAAGTTATGCTCAAATTCCATTTCCTTCAGCACTGAAATCTGCATTGTATAATGTTTTAAAATGTCAACATCACTGCTTATGATGTAAAATTAGCTTTATTAATTTAAATATGACTTAAATCACATAGGAATCTGTAATTTTGACTTTGTGATAGAAGACTATGCTGGGCTTTTCATCTATGTGAATTCCATGTTGAAAAGGCATGTGGCCATGCACGGTGGTTCACGCCGGTAATCCCAGCACTTTGGGAGGGTGAGGTGGGTGGATCACTTGAAGCCAGGAGTTTGAGACCAGCCTGGCCAACATGGTGAAACCCTGTCTCTACCAAAAATACAAAAGTTAGCTGGGTGCGGTGGTGCGCACTTATAATCTCAGCTACTCGGGAGGCTGAGGGACAAGAATCGCTTGAACCTGGGGGTGGAGGTTGTAGTGAGCTGAGATTGTGCCACTGTACTCCAGTCTGGGTGACAGAGCGAGACTCTCTCAAAAAATAAAAAATAAAAATAAATAAATAAAAGGTATGTGGAAGAAAGATCATGGGCTTTGGAGCCAGCATGACTTGGCTTTGACTCTCACTTTACCAGTGACTGCCCAGGAGACCTTGGGCAAGTTACTTGCTTACTTCGGGTATCAGAATCTTCACTGGTCATAAGAGAAATGCAAATCAAAACTACATTGAGATACCATCTCACGCCGGTAAGAATGGCAAACATTAAAAAATCTGGAGACAGCAGATGCTGGAGAGGATGTGGAGAAACAGGAACACTTTTGCACTGTTGGTGGGAGTGTAAATTAGTTCAACCATTGTGGAAGACAGTGTGGCGATTCCTCAAGGACATAGAAATAGAAATTCCATTTGACCCAGCAATCCCATTACTGGGTATATATCCAAAGGATTACAAATCGTTCTACTATAAGGACACGTGTACACGAATGTTCATTGCAGCACTGTTTACAATAAATAGCAAGGACCTGGAACCAACCCAAATGCCCATTGACAATAGACTGGATAGGGAAAATGTGGCACATATACACCATGGAATATTATGCAGCCATCAAAAACGATGAGTTTGGGTCCTTTGTGGGGACATGGATGAACCTGGAAACCATCATTCTCAGCAAACTGACAGAGGAGCAGAAGATCAAACACCGCATGTTCTCACTCATAGGCGGGTGTTGAACGTTGAGAGCACATGGACACAGGGAGGGGAGCACTACACACTGGGGTCAGTTGGGGGGAAATAGGGGAGGGACGGTGGGGGGTGGGAAGCTGGGGAGGGATAGCAGGGGGAGAAATGCCAGATGTAGGTGAAGGGGAGGAAGGCAGCAAATCACACTGCCACGTGTGTTCCTATGCAACAATTTTGCATGTTCTTCACATGTACCCCAAAACCTAAAATGCAATAAAATAAATAAATGGGAAAAAAAAAAGAAAGTAAAAAAAATAAAAATAAAAAAAAAAAAGAATCTTCATCTGTAAGATGATGATAGTAAAAGACTCTTTTCAGTTGCTGGAAGAGACAGGAAAAACAAACAAATACCACTTCCTTGCCAAAGATACATAGGATCTCGAGACTTAAAACAGTAAGTTTGTACAGTAAGGAATATAGTGCTTTCGGAAGCTATTCAGCTCATGAGTTTAGATCATGAGAATTATATTGGAAAATTGATCTCAACTTATTTGGTTACTCACTGTGGACAGTAAGAATTTGGAAAGACGGATGTTTACATTAGTAAAATGACTTTTTTGTTTTTTTACAGAGTAGATGCTCAATAAATGATAGATATAACAGAAAAATTGAATGCAAGAGAATAATGTTTGCATAAAATGCATGGATAAATTATACAGGAAAGATCTTCTACAGGTGCCCAGTTGTGGAGGAAAGCTGAAATTGTGGTAAGACAGGAAATATTCACCAATGACATGACCATCACAAAATTAGTTCCTACTCAAATTCTTCCTGGCTCAGCTTTTTGCTCATTATGTACAGTTTTAGTTGCTTTCCTCCCTTGTTGCCCATTGGATGTCCACCTAGCGAACAGGCAAACACAATAAAAAGCTTCTTGAAAGTGAACAGTGAATCTTACACAGGATTTCCTAAAGTCGATGAAAATATGCTAGAAAATTATAGAGTTATGTAGAAACAGGGATCTAGCAGGAGAGTAGCTTACAACTGAAAAAGAAAATCCAGAAGGATGATGTTATGACAGTTTCAAGAGATAATTATTTGACTATCAAAGGATTGACAGAGATGTTGAGAAAAGCAATAAGGCCCTCAAATAGTTTTTCACAACTTGTTCTCTTTTGATAAAACTACAGGAGTCAACAGAAAAGGATTATGCCGTTTTATGCTATGATTATAAACATATGAAATGTTATATATTTTGTCAGAAATATTATGTTAAATCTACACGATGCTTGCTTTTTCTAAGAATTGGTATACAGTAATATTATCATCTAAATAAGCAGTTAACAAATTACAGCTTGAGGGTCAAATCTGGCCCACCATCTGATTTTGTAAATAAAACTTTATTGCAACACAGCTATGTCCATTCATTTACTTATTGTCTGTGGCGGCTTATATACCACAATGAAAGATTTGAGTAGTTGTAGCAGAGACCTCATAGCCCACAAAAAGAAAAATATTTGTTATCTGGCCCTTCCAGAAAAACTTTGCTGACAGTTCACCTAAGATTCTGTTTTAAAATAAGCTTTTCCTCTTTTACTCTTAACAGATACAGTTCTAATAAAAAAATTTCCCTCCACTTTTACACTGACACTGAAATTTTCATTTTAAGTGAATTTCTTTTAGGTGATACTTTTCTCTCACCTCTCCCCAAATTATGTTTAGCTGATGAGGCCTCCTTATAATTCAGGATAAAACACGACTATTCATAAAGATAAATTATTGCTGGTCCCCAATTTAACAGTGCAAGACTTTTGAATCAGACTGACTATGTTTGAATCCTGGTACTGCCACTTACTAGCTGGGGGTATCCATGCATGGTATCTAATCTTTCTGGGTCTCAGGTTCCTCCTCTGTCATATGGGGATAGTAGCATGAACTCTGTTCAGTTGGTGAACTAAAACAAGATAATGAAGATCAGGCTCTTAACCCAGTCCCTGGCACACCGTATAGATACTCAGTGGCAGCTGCCATCATGTCTGTCTGCCCTGAGTTGTTTGGAATCACCATTTACATAGCCTGGGATCTGAGTGCTGAGTTCCTCCAGGCTTTCTGTGAGTTGTTTGCCATAAGGCAATGCTACGGTTTGGAAATCACTGCTAGGAATGGAGACAAATCATTCACCAAATCAACTAGTTCATGCTGTTTAAAAAAGTAAGGGGCCAGTTAAGAATTTATCTTCACTTTTAAAGATGTTTCCTCAGTCAGTGCATGTTAGAAATTGCAGCAACAGCAGCGGGGAGGAAGCTTTTCTGAACAATCTGACTCCAGCAGGGAGATTCGGCCCAACACAGCTTGCATATAAATATTCCCAGATGCTGTGACTTCAAGAGGGAGGCATTTTGTCATTAGGAGAAGTGGACAAAAATGACAGCCGTAAGGCAGTGATGGTAATGAGGGTGGTAGCCAGCAGGCCAGGGGAGAGCAAGGTGATTTCCTGGCTGGGTCACGCTGAGAACAATACAGCCTTTATTCCTCCCAGCCATGTCCTGGTTTGCAAAATACTTGCAGGAGCAGCCCTCATTGTCCTGGTTTGCAGAATACTTGCAGGAGCTTCTAAGTTGCTCCCCAACTATCCCATCTTCTTGTATTTGTGTATGCCCTGTCCTTGAGTAGGGGCTGGACCTAGCAACTTGCTTCTAACCAACAGAAAAGGTAAAGATGATAAGGTATCACTTCTCTAATTAGGTTATAAAAGTGTTTAACTTCCATCTTGCTAGCAGACTCTCTCTATTGCCTTTCAGCTTGTACGTTTTTATGAAACAACTTGCCATGCGGGAGGGATTTACATGCCAAGGAGCTGAGGGTGGTTGCTGGCCAACAGCCAGCAAGGAACTGAGAGCCTCAGTGAACTGGATCCTGCCAACCATCATGTAAGCGAGTGTGGAAGCAGATCCTTCCCCAGTAGAACCTTCAGATGAAATCCCAGTCTTGACTGACATCTTGATTCTAGCCTGTGAGAGATCATGGAGCAGAGGACCCAGCTAAGCTGTGCCCAGAGTCCTGACCCACGGAAACTGACCTAATAAATGTGTGCTGTTTTACACCACTACGTTTTGGAATAAGTTGTTATGTAGCAATAGATAGCTAATATAGATTTCTCCCTTCAAATTAAAAAGCAGACAAAAGACTTACTTTTCTGCTGAGGGTTGATGGGTGCATTGTCACTTGTTTGGGTTTATCTCAGTCATTCTTCATCTAACATGACATGATATTAAGAACAGCACACTGCTGATAATGTTGATAGATTCACTTGTCTAAGTCACACCTCTGATACTGCCCTTCCCCTATTTAAAAAGCTTCATTGGTTCCCATTGACTGAATGAAAGAAGTTCAACTTTTTTATTTGGCATTCAAGGCTCACTTTGATATTTGTCCTCTGTAAGCTGTTAAAATGATCATCCTAAAACATCAATTATCATGTTACTCTTGTGCTTATAAAAGTCTCTGTTCGATTCTGGCTTCCAACTAGAGTAAATCTGTGTTCCACAGCATCAAGTCTTACCATGATCTGGCCCCTCCTACCTTTCTGACTTACACTTTTCTTTTGAGACAAATTCTCACTCTGTTGCTCAGGCTAGAGTAAACTGGCATGATCGTGGCTCACTGCAGCCTCAAACTCCTGGGCTCAAGCAATCCACCCCATCTCAGCCTCCTGAGTTGCTGAGTCCACAGTCATATGCCACTACATCTGGCTAATTTTTAAATTTTTTGTAGAGACATGGTCTCGTTAAGTTGCCCAGGCTGGTCTTGAATTCCTGGGCTCAAATGACCCTCCTGCCTTGGCCTCCAAAAGTGCTGAGATTATAGGCATGAGCCACTGTGTCTGGCCTCTGCCTCATGCTTAATCTCTCAGCAACACAGGACAGCTTGTCATGTGTTCCCCAATCCACACAATGAGCCATCTCCTGCCCTCCCCACTTCCCGTCTTTGTGACATCTTTCTCTTTGATTCAGTTGCTATTCTCTTCCTTTCATTCTCTATATTCCCTTCTCTGGAAAATTCATTCTTAAAGTTCAGCTCAGATCATCTGAGTAGTAATGTGAAAATATACTCATCTGCTTGGATCTGCATAGGCCATGTCCAGAAGAATCAGGACAAATCAGTGACATTGGTTATCTCTGGGGAGGGGGTATTGAGAATCCCTGAGGGATAGAGTTTGAGAGAGAGAATCTTCATTGTAACCCATTTTGTGCCTTTTAAATTTTGTAGCATATATTTATCTCTTCAATCAAACATTAAATGAAGCATGTATAATAAAAGAAAAAAAGTTAATTTCTCCATTTACCTTTGCTGGGAGCCTTCCCTGACTTTCTCTTACTGAGTTGATTGTGTGCTGCCCTGTTCGTGTATCTGTCACCCCTTCCAGTCTCTACTGTCCTGGAGTTCAGGGATCTCTCCTTGTTCTTCCCTTATTCTTGTTCCTAGTGGCTTAGCACAGTGCCTGCTACTTCGCAAGCCTTCAAAATATATGAGGAATAAAATTGCTACACTTACAAATGTAATTCCCACCACCCCTCAGGCTCTCTATGGGTGCCGGCCTTCCTGCCTCTGGCTCTAGTTCTTACTGTCCCCTCTCCTTGGATTTCCCTTTCCCCCATTACTTCATTTTTGAAGTCTCCTCACTTTGAGCTCAGCTCTTACCCCAGGAAGTCATCTTCCCTCTGTCTGGTTTCTCATGTACTCCTGAAGCATTTATTTTATTTTATTTTTTTGAGACGGAGTTTCACTCTTGTTGCCTAGGAGTGCAATGGTGCGATCTCAGTTCACTGCAGCCTCCACCTCCTGGGTTCCAGCGATTCTCCTGCCTCAGCTTCCCAATTAGCTGAGTAGCTGGGATTACAGGTGTGCACCACCATGCCTGGCTAATTTTTTTTTTTT